GGGGCGGGATGGGGCGGGCGGGGCGGACACAGAGATGGTCAGGTGCATCGCTACGCGGCGACCCGTATTGCTCGGGTCGGTACCGCTATATCAGAGCAGCAAGTAGGAGAGAGAGAGGAGGGGGAGAGAGAGAGAGCGAAAGAGAGAGATAGAGATAGCGAGTGTGCGGCTGAGCGGCGACAGCCTCCATCTCACTCTCGCAGAAACCAGGACTGCGCGCCACCGTGCGCCACCGTGATGCTCCGCTAAAGGCTGGGCCGGGCAGCGCCAGGGCAGCGCTGAGTGCGGCGGGCGGCCGCGAATAAAGGCGAGGCCGGCATAAAAGCGGAGGGTATTGAAGACATCTCCGCGCGCAGCCCCAGCAGCCAGCCAACCGTGGCATCGACAAACCAGCGGAGGGAAAAGGGAAGGGAGGGGGTTTAATTGGGATTCCTGCTCAATCCGTTTCACACCTTTGGGGTTTCTCGCGAGAGAAGCAGCAGCAGCGCAGGCTGCGGGAGAGGGGATAACCCACACGTGCGAGTCGCGTGAGTGAGGTTAAGCGGTGTCGCAGAATCAGAGACATGGATGTAGTGATTTGCATGCCAAAAGACACCGCGCGCGAGTTGTCTTTAAAAAGTAACCGACATCAAGGTCAAAATTAAGCTGTTTGCCCTTGGGACGTCGCTCGCGACTCACCAGAGTGCGCTGCGCATCCATCACTGGGCGAAAAACGTACACATGGACGATGCTGACAATTGTTAGGCACGCGTAAATTTACAATGCCGACTTTTTGTACTAATGGAAATATGCTGCAGTCGTTCTCCGACATATACACTTGATTTCACTAGCTTGGTGCTCTTAATTAAATGATGGATAGGATTGCCACCAAATCGACGTCAACAATCAGGTTGGCGAAGTGTGCGGTGCAGCTGCGGCACGTGCAGCGCAGAGAAGAGACGAAAGGCAAGTGGGGCGACAATCACCTTTAAACAGGTCATGAGAGGAGAGAGAGAAAATAATAATAATACGTCTTCTTTTGAGGAATAGGGAGGACGCGGACAGGTAAGGGGAAGTGACTCATTAGCGCGTTACTGGAGCGCGGCGTGGCGCGGCGCGGCGCTGCTGAGCCGAGCCGGAGCCCGCTGCTGGGCCCTCTCTGTTCACGCATGGGTGTGTTGTGCTCCGCGACTGCTACTTGTCATCGGCGGGACCGGCAAAGAAAGGAAAAACAAGCACACGCCGGACAGTAGAATATAAAGAAAAGGAAGAAAGACAACTCTTTTCTAGCAGAATACCGTGCTGGGTTAAAAAATAATAGGTCGGCTCGTTGTTTGGTGACAGGGACGGCAACACCGGTCGAACAAGGCGCGCTGGCGATCCGCTCCTTCCGCGGGAAATGACCCCGCCGAGGTGGTGACCCGGTGCCGCCCGGTACAGTACTCGTGCGCTGCCGTGTCGGCTACGCCGCGCGCGCGCTAGCAGGGCGTGGCGTGGCGGGGTGTGGCGGGGCAGGACGGGGCCGCGCGGGGCGGAGCGGCCTGCGAGTGGCCGCTAATCACACCGGGCTTGCCTCAGTTATTAAGATTCTATCGCGGTCGGAAGCGGTCGGAAGCTGATCCCGGGCCGCCGCCGCCGCGCCGCCACCGGCTCACCCGCAACGGATCCCGCCGCCGGGATCATGCCCGACACGCCGCCGCGTGCCCAGATCTGGAGCAGTCGATGATGACAAAGTCAAGGGCGTCACGATAGTACACGGGGTGGGGGGGGGAGGGGGTGGTGTCTGAAGAAGCGCAGAGAGCGTCGCGTCAGGTGTCGGCTCGGGTCGGCTCGTCGCGGGACGGAGGTGCGGGCGCGGGCTGAGGCGGGGCCTCCGCGACCACGGCGCTTTTACGCCCCGCACCAACCTGCACTGACCGTATTCCGAGAAGTGACCTGGTACCACCCACAGCCCCGGACGCCACTACTGTCGACACCGTTTGCCGGACGCCGCCGGAGAAAGCGCACCAAAAACCCCCCTTTTTGGAAGTCCGGCCCGACGGCGCCACGCAGACAGTGCGCTTGTTATCTGTGACCGACAACAACAAGGAGAGGAGGATGCGGGCGGCCGAGGCGTCTGGACGCTGCGCAGCGTCATGCTCCACCAGACGCGCGGAAAGTCACGCCACGCCCTCGCCAGCTCGACAACAACACCCAACACGACGGCGAAATGGAAAAATCTCGCGGAAGTACAGGCGGAGCGTGGTGGGTTGGTCTGACCCTGACCCTCTCTGCACGCTGGCTAAGATCCAACGCCTGGAGGCAGGCAGACCCACACGACACGCATGCCGGGCGCGGTGGCCTACGCTAGTGTCTGCAGGCGCCTGGAGGCAGGCAGATCCGCACGACACGCGTGCTGGGCGTGGCGGCCTACGCTAGTGTCTGCAGGCGCCAGGAGGCAGGCAGACCCGCACGACACGCGTGCCGGGCGCGGTGGCCTACGCTAGTGTCTGCAGGCGCCTTGGGGCAGGCAGACCCGCACGACACGCGT